TAGGGTTTAGGGTTTTGGGGTCTGGAATAGGAATCCCCTGCAAAGGCCTCTAGAGGGGCATCTAGGTCCCCAATAGGTTCCGTTGTGTCTATGTTTGGGTTCCGACACATCTGCTGTCTTCCTCCCATGATGTCCTTGGCCGCTTCTTTTGAGCTGCAGGAGATGAAGAGCTTCTTCAGGCCCGAATTTTTAAACAGGCGGGCTTCCGAGATGTGGATGAGCAACTGAAAAGTGAGCACAGCATGACAAGAAGTTCCAGCAGCAGTCCACGAACTCGATGCTTGCAATGGCAGAAAACATCTGAAGTATTGATGCCATTGTCACTCTATAGTATTGCATCTAAAAGACAAGAACGGATGATGATGCCCGGCTATGCAAGACGCCTTTCGAAAGCAATAGCACAGACGAAAGCCAGTGGCACCGTAGCTGTGACAACAGCGAGACTGTCCGGACAGACAACGCATCGTGGTAGAACAATCATGAGGCTAACAGCCTTTTGTTTTTGAATTTGAGCTATAGTCTAAACTCCTCAAAGGGGGGTTACATAGGGGAGCATTACACTGCTTACTGAGGGAATGCGAGGAGTTTGGACCCTAAACCCTAAACCCTGTATTGTAGGGGTTATTAAGGGGGATACTAGGAATTTAGACCCTAAACCTTATTATAGGGGATTGGAAGGGGGATACTAGGAGTTTAGACCCTCAACCCTAAACCCCGAACCCTAAACCCTAAACCCTAAATCCCAAACCCTATACTATAGGGGTTATTAAGGGAGCCACTAAGAGTATTTGTCATTTGAGCTATAGTCTAAACTCCTATAATCCCCATTATTAAGCCCTATAGTAGTCACCTTAAAGGAGCTTAGGCTATATGGGTGGTTGTCAAAATTATGGTCCCTTTTTGGTCCCCTATTATAATACGGCACCTAATATTTAGGGTACCCTAAAAAGGGATCATAATTTTGACAACCACCCATATGGCTCATTTGTCTTCGTAATGGGTTTTTACTGGGTTGCTGTTAAGGAACTTAAGCTGAGTTACTATATTGGGGGAATCCTATTATTTACTTTTTATACCCATTAGGGTAACTACCCTAAACCCTAAACCCTAAACCCGTTAGGGTACCCTAAACCCTAAACCCTAAGCCCTAAACCCTAAACCCTAAACCCATTAGGGTAACTTAATTCGAGTTCCTTAACAGCAACCCAGTTTTTGGTGCCAAGCAGTGGCATCTGCAGGCTCGACGAGGTCATCGTCTTCCGCCCCCTGAGAGAAGATGATGTGAGGGCTATCGCAGAGGCCTGATAGGTTTAGGGTTTAGGGTTTAGGGATTAAGGTTTTTGTGTTTAGGGGTTTAGGGGTTTAGGGGTTTAGGGTTTAGGGGTTTAAGGGTTTAGGGTTTAGGGTTTAAGGTTGAGGAATTAGGGTTTAGGGTTTTAGGGGTCAGGGGTCAGGGTTTAGGAGGTTGACTGGGATGCACGAGCCCTGTTAGGTTCAATGTTTCCACCCAAAAGTGTGCGAGGCCGTAAGTATCAGCAACTCCCCTTGAGGTGGTTACCATAATGGGCATATATACTCCTAGTATCCCCCTTAATAACCCCTATAGCATAGGGTTTGGGGTTTATGATTTAGGGTTTAGGGACCATCTCCCGGCGACATGTCCCAATCGCTCCCAGCCTTTGGAGCTTGAAAGGTGGAGTTCAAGAAGGTGCTCGCCAGGCTAGCTGACAAGGCTCGGGACACTACACTGGCATCAGTTTGCATGTTCTAATGTAGCAGTTTCCAATTTTCTTTTCCATTATCCCTATAAATCCCCAATATATACCGCATTTTGAGTTTAATGTTTGCGTGTTATAAATTGTTTCAGGACCTTGAGGTCACTCTGTCGAAGAGCTTCAAGGACACCAGACTTTGCCAGACTTTCTTCACTGATCTATCCAGGAAACCGTTGGACCTGCAAACAAAGGGAAGCACTGCCTCCTGAAGCACGTCTAAGATACATGGGGGGTCCCCATAATAAGGACCACCTGAGCCCCAAACCCTAAACCCCAAACCCCAAAACCCTAAACCAGGAGCAAGTCATCAAGGAAGGCTACGACCCCGCCTACGGTGCAAGGCCAGCGCAGCGACCCGGTGCTGCGATGTCTGCAGAGGAGCAGTAGCAATACTTGAGCTATGGTCTCTGGGTAGGGTCCTGGGATATCTAATATTTTCCCTAATGGCTTTAATAGGGGACCCTGCATATTAATATTTTTGAAAGGACAGGGGGTGTTATGTTGGGATTATATTGGGCGGGTACTATATCAAGACGGATACTCGGAGTTTAGAACATAGCTCACATGGGATCGTGATGACGCTGCGCGTGCTCAAAGAAGAAGCGGTTGTCAAAATTCTGGTGCCTTTTTGGGTACCCTAAATATTTGGTGCCGTATTATAAGAGGGATCCAAAAAGGGACCCTAATTAGGACAACCACCCATCTGGTAACTTAAATTTTCCCAGTATGTATATGCATATTGGTACTACTTAAGTTAGGACCCTTCACGGCAACCCAGAAAGCGGGATATCGATTGTTTTGGGCCTCGACCAGGCCGCTGCGCAGGGCTATCACGCGCATGCTGGAGGCAGGGGGGGAGGGGGCGGGGCGCATGGAAGACACTTACTTGAATAAGAATATATTAGATTATTAAGGTGTATACTGTAATATAATATATATAGTATTATATGACATACTATACTATAGTAGATTATGCTATACTGTAGGAAAATATAGTCTTAACGAAACTTTGGCATGCCTGAGAACACGCGAATGTTACGTTGCCACTGCTGAGTGAGGAGGTTAAGGAGACCAATACGATTTCTAATATACCATAATGCATTCTCATAATATACAATTATAATATATTGTTAAAATATATCAATACTATAATGTAGTACTATAATTAATTACGATAATATACTACTATGATATATTCTTATTATATATTACTATAATATATTACTATAATATACTCGCGATTTGTCACCCATGTTTTCTCATCTTATCAGGATACGCTGGCTGAGCACCTCCTGGAAAGCGCAGCAGCATCGCGGAAGGCGGGCTTCCCTGTGAAAAGTGCCGCGGAAAGCGTGGAAGGAAGAGACTCACAAATTTACATGGGTTGTTGTCAAAATTATGGTCCCTTTTTGGATCCCTATTATAGTACGGCACCTAATATTTAGGGTACCCAAAAAGGGGACCGTAATTTTGACAACCACCCACATACATCCCTATTTAGTCGCCTGTGCTACTAGCGGGGAGCAAGATCTTTTTATCTTAAAGCGTATTTTAGGATATTTTTTAGTATATTATGGTATGGTATTACAGTGTGTTAGAGCACATACGTAGTATCTTCATGAGGGGGTTCCTCAAACCTAAACCCTAAGCCTAAACCCGGGCCTGGGGCGTCTTGTTGAATCGCAGGGGAAGACGGCCGTGGAGCTCAGCGCGTCCTGGTCTCAGAAGCCTAGAAGGACTGGGATTATTTTTACTGTAATTTAGGTGGACCCCCCATCCTGTAATAGTGGCTATAAGGGATAATAAGGATTATGTTAGGGTCCTCTTATATTCCTATTATACTACTATTAGAGGGTGGGGGGTCCTCCTAAAACTATAATATACAGCATATTAGTACGATATACTATAGTATTAAACCCTAAACCCTAAACCCCTAACCTACGATATACCATAGTATTACATTCATTGTCTTCCTTTTGGGAGCTGGCTTCCTCAAGACAAGGAGGGATCGAATCTTAACCCTAAGCCCTAAACCCTACCAAGGGAACCTTGGTTTAGGGTTTAGGGTTTAGGGTTTAGGGAACTGAAGTAGTTGTAGGTTGTGAGCTCAAAACTCTTGTTTCAGTTGTTGCCTGATGACCGGGCTTTCCAATTCGAAGCCCGTAATGCACCCGTACAAGACCTTACAAAAACCCAGCAATTTACACATAAAACCCCGGAATTGGAAGATGCAGTTTCCGCAGATAGCAAAAACCTGGTTTTGCTCCCCAAAACCGGCTATTTTCCGCAACCTACAATTTCCACAGTTTTTGGGTATCTCAAGGTATACCCTATACCCTAAGCCCCTAAACCCTAAACCCGTAAACCCCTAAACCCCTAAACCCTAAACCCTAAACCCTAAACTTCCTCCGAGGTCAGAGACTGGAAAAGTCCACGTAAAGGTCCTGAGCACAAGCTCCAAGACCAAGCCTCAGATTAAGTGCGCTCAATAATGACACCAATATTGGGTTTAGGGTTTAGGGTTTAGGATTTAGGGTTTAGGGTTGGCCCCTGGGATAGTGGAAAATAGAATGGAAACTACTATAGTATATTGGGGATATATTGGGATAATGGAAAATAGAATGGAAGCTACCATAGTATAGGGGATATATTGCGATAATGGAAAA